CTGGAGAAAGAGTCCAACTCCAAAATATCCTTTCTTGAAGTCCAACTTACAAGATGAGAACAGGATGGAACACTGAAAAGGTCTATCCACAGAAAGTAGATGTGGAACGGACAGCTTACTAACTTTCACAGTTGGGCACCCGTATACACCAAACGAAACCTGATCCGTCCACTCAGCTACAGAGTTCGCAGAATTTGCACCCCGGACATCGTAGACGATGAACTGGACAATCTCAAGAGAATCCTCGTCGAGAATTGTTATCCAGAAAGATTTATTGCAAAATCTATGAATCCTAGACCACAAAAGCCGCCTACACTAAGCGTCCCGAAAAAACTCCTCTACATGAATCTTCAATTCAATGGAAATATATCTGCGGAAACACTTGAAAATTGACTGTCGCGCTCACTTAAGAAGACCTTCTTCGCAGGTGAACTAAGACTAACCTTCTCCACAAAACCTATGATTCATGTGAACGTGAAGGATAAGCTACCATTGCTGGCCCCATTAATGTGTATTTATCAATTCACCTGCTCGTGTGGAGCCAGGTATGTCGGCCGTACCCAGCACTCGCTTTCCAAACGTATCATCGAACACTTACCAACATGGCTTTACAAAGGAGAAAATCGATCCCCCCGCAGCTCCATATTAGAACATCTGATAGAATCCGGACACCAAGTTACATCGCAAACAAACTTCAAAGTTGTCTACAGAGTAAGAATTAGTCTTCCTAAAGGTGTACGAATCAGACTTCTTCAAACTGCAGAAGCAATGGCGATTCACTCGCTAAGTCCTGAACTCTGCATACAGAGGAAGTTCGTTCAATCACTACACTTGCAATGGGCATAATCTATCTTATTACCCGATAAGTAAATTATACCTAATCTTTTTTCCCCGTCTCTTCATTAGTATTATTTCATCTTTTCAATATTCAATAGTATTTTACATTTTAAATTTTCTTGTTCTCTACCCCCAACCGATTTAATTTCTACACCTCACTACCACTGTTACTGACTTGAACAACGATCAATTTCTAATCAGTTATGTTACGTCATCCAACTTATTTGCTCAATTTCAGCTCTAATTTAAATGGCATTATTCTCTACCCCACTTCTACTTAGTCTCTACCCGTAATTACCTCTGTTGCTACCCTGACCTAAGTTGAAATATTTTAGTCAATTATATCACGTCATCTAACTAACTAACTCAATCTTATTATAAATTATTTTATTTAATCCCAGAGTGTTAAGAAAATCAAAACAAGATTTTTCTGAACGTTTCGCTGTGTAAGCCACAGCTTCTTCAGCTTACACAGCGAAATGTTCAAAAAAATCTTGTTTTGATTTTCTTAACACGCTGTGATTAATTAAAATAATTTATAATGAATCAATCTGACTCGGCGCTCAAATTATTCCAGGAAGTTCGTGACATCTACTGCCTGGAAACCTATAACTCAATCTTACTTTAGTTGCTGTCTGATTAACCTTGTTTCTATATTAGATCATTCTTGTATTACCACCTGATTAATTACCTAAACTTGACAAACCTCATGTACACACACACACACAGATAATTATATATAAATGCGATTGTACAGCTATGTGAATGAATTCGCTGAAAAGAATCTATTCGCTGGACGTCTTCTCTTTTTCATATGACTCAATGGGGCTTTTCAAGCTACTAATAGCAAGCTGTTTTATTTCTTAGAATCGTGATATTATTAAATATTTTACTATTGTCCAACACGCTGATTGTAGAGCGATGATAGGGGAACTGCAAAGTAATATCACCTTCCTAGAGTTGTTTTATAGGCACTTCACTGAAATATCCGAAAATTTCATAGTGTTGACTGTCATTAAAGTTTCATTTTTGATACTTCCTAAGCCAACGTTTTGTTTACATTTCAACTACACGTGATTTGCACTTTCCGTTAGAATTCGTCAACTAACATACTTATGCAGAATTCTATAAACAATGAATGATAATTTTTTCACGCGTTACGAATTAGGATAGTGAAATCGCTGATTTATTATATGCATGTATCGTGCGGGAATGTGCGTCGGTGGCACAGAAGTTTAGACCCTTACCAACCATGCATATGGTACGGAGTTCGATCTCCGGCCGACGCACACTTGATATCAATGGTCGGTCTGCTAAATTTGGGCTACCGATATCACATGCTGAAAATTCCATACTTGTACAAAAAAACTGTGTGGAATCAGGCTATTATAAAATAAATAAAATAATAATTAATAAGTCGGACTTCAGAAAAAACTACTATTATTAATGGATCTCTGAAACCATGCATTTTCATGTCTTTTGTGTTCCGAATAGAAAATAGGTATTACACCGTGGAAGTTTAATTTACAGTGGTGTTATTTCTATGGGGAAATCGTCAATCTTATAACTAACCTTCACCTTTTTTCCGGTTAACTACACGCTAGTAAACTGAGTGAAACTTAAGAGAGCGCCGGCAGGCAACAGACTCTGGACCTGCTTGTCTGGAGGCTATTCTACCACTGTCCTTTGACACACTATTTAGGTCATTTCATTTAGGTTATTTCACTAAAGCCCATTCATATCGAAATGCTCGTTCGTGCATATTTGATTTGAATCTGACCACCCGGTTAGCGAGTCATCCAATAACTGCACTGTTACCATGATTAGACCCACTTCTACCTGGTTATTGTTGTATTCTGTATATATCTAACAATATTTCAAAGGATTAAGACAAGAGTTCCACATATTGCAGCAGAAACAATAAAAGCAAATAATTTAACACCGTTTCAGAGACTGTAGTTTATATATTTATATATGTATATGTAACATTATTTTATAGACCATCATCTCATGTTCCTAACTGTAGATAGAAATTCTCTTTGATCCCTAACTATAGCCTGTGATATAAAGTATGAGAACATATCGATAATTTTAGTACCTTGACATAAAATATAATATTTTACTCCGGTATTAAATGAGTTATATAATTGGAAAAACATCAATTTTAAAATTATTTGATTGACGTTGATGAAATGTCACGTAATAGAAGAAAAATGTATGATGATGTCTAAATATGAGTAGGTGTAACTACTTAATAACACCCTGATTTACCATAGTGAAACACAAAGCCTAAAGTTTACAACTCGTTTGTTTATCACTGATTCACGTAAGTCAAGATCAAAGAGACAGAAATGAACAGAATAATTTACAGTACACGAAGCTGTCTAAAAACACCTTGATATTTTTACGATATGGTTGAAATCTTTATATTCATCAAACATTACATAATGTTCCTGTAATGCCATTAGACTGAGTCAGATATCACTGGAATGGTCAAAGGCTATTGTGCGTCAGTGGCACAGCAGTAAAATGCTCGCCAACCACTCATGTGGTCCGGGGTTCAATCCCCAGCCGAAGCGCTCCTTTATCTCGCTAAGCCAGTAATAAGATTGATAAGGAGGGAAGGCTGGGCATGAGGCTAGCAACCCCATCCCGTAAAAATAAACACCATTGCTACCGAAACTTCAAACCTCTAGCTTGAAGCCCTATGTTCCACTGGGAATGTGAACGAATATTTAAAAAATATTGAGGGCTCAAATGTTCTGTAATTTTTTTAAAGACTACTTTATTGACTTCTCTAGTGCTTCAAATCTCTGTCTGTCAGCTATGTGAGTGGAAAAACTTGTTTTAAACACCTAAAGTGTTGAAACGATACTATCAGTTACCTTCTATACACCAGTTTGGAACAATGCAGTATTTGCTTTCCAGGAGTTCACAGGAGATCGAGCCCAGTTAACTAGATAAGTGTGTTAACTTTTAGCCAATAGTTTGACATCCATTAGCCTTCTCCCCCACCACTTTCATTTTGACAACGAACTAGGTCAACCTCAAGAATTATAGCTTATTCTTTTCTATATCTGATTTGAGTTGTTAGTGTAGCATAACTTGATTTCACTTTAATGACAGTAGTTCACAGTAGAAAAGTACCCGACTGATCCTAGCCTAATGATCGTTCATTGAGGTCCCGTGTGGGATGTTAGCTGATGACTAACAGAAAAAAGAGAACCAGGACATGATTGTACAGGTACATTATCTCTTCGTTTTGAATTTATCTATCCTTCAGGGTTTTTAATAACATTCAACTTGAAATTAGTCAAATTCCACTTGGCCAATAGAACAAAAATGTATTTTGATTGAACACTAGTAACTAGTGCGATGTGTCTAGTCCTTTCCTTGGTGCAAACTGAATTCTATCAGTCAGGTTTGCAATGTGGCCACCATTCTACGTAGCTCGCCATCACGGTGTACATTAGATAGTCAGAGGCAATCGGCAGAAAACCTTGGACGTAGGTTTCGTGCTAGTTGGCACTCACCAGTCGGCAAGGCGTATCTACAACCTTGAAGGAACTGATGTCCCTTCTGAGATTTGAACCCGCGTCATCCAGTGCTGCAGTCAGAGACGTTAGAGGTCAATTACGAGCCCGAATAGCTCAGTGGTAACGTCTCTGACTGCAGCACTGGGTGACGTGGGTTCAAATCTCAGAAGGGACATCAGTTCCTTCAAGGTTGTAGATACGCGTTGCTGACTGGTGAGTGCCAACTAGCACGAAACCTACGTCCAAGGTTTTCTGCCGATTGCCTTCAACTATCTGATATCATCAGAACAGAAATGTATTTTACTGATCGACATGTTTAGTAGCCAGTGGTAATGCTACGATCAGTAGTACACTACTTGTGACTGTTACAAAGAAATGAATACAAATACGAAACTATTCAAATCATTTTTCATCTTACTGACCTTAATAGGCATACATCTTTCAATTCTAATCAGATCTTTCAGATTGGGAAGTATTTTCTTTTGCTCCTACTGACCCCCAATAGGATTACAGATAATCTCTTTTGCCAATCACAAGCTTAATAAAACTGACCAATTAAAATGCTGAGATTTTGAAAAGCATATATATATATAAATCCGCTTTGTCATCTGTTTTGTTGAAATGGATAACGATAATTTCGCTAAGATTTGAAGAAGAAGAAGAAAAAAAAAGAGAAAAAGAGTCTTGATCATTTAATGCAATGTAGCAGAGTGTTTATTGTCTCTGGAATATGGAAATTTTAAACTCGGATGCATTCACTTTTATTGGATTTCCTAGAAGTGCTTCAGAAATAATTTACAATTGTATTGATTATCATCAGAGACTGCAGAAATTGAATTATACACAACCAGACAACAGTTTATACTCTTCAACTAATGATTATGATAATTATAGAAATGATGCTTTGATTAATAGTGATACACTTGAAATAAATTACCTCAATGAAAGTTATTCATCATCAATGATCAACTCAAATTGTCCTGGATTACGAAGTCAATCGACAGTTGCACATATCAGTATGGCTGTAGCTACGATAACAATGCTGATACATTTTATCCTAGTCACCATTGTAAATAATGAATTGACAAAGCTGTATGGAGTCTGTTTAATCATTGTTATATTATTCAATGCCCTGCACAGTGGTATATTATTCGCTAGTGCATATATGCCGACAACAATTAGTTTTAATTTAACAGAAAAAGAAATTACATATTTTATTAAGAAAAATTTATTTTTTAATTGTTGGTTTATGGATGTTATAACTCATTATCTTATTTTATCAATATATCTTGGAATATTTTTTGGATTAATTGAACGTTATCGGTGTATTAATCAGTATTTCAAGCGTTCACCGATCACATTGAAATCATTGAACGCATTCTTTCGGAAACACAGAAGGCGGGATAATTCAAATAGAAAAATGCATAATGAATGGTATACAGATCCATATACAATTATCTGTGGTGGTAGTTGTCATAGCAGTAATAATAATGTTACAAATATATCCAGTGATAATAAAGTTAAAAATCAGTGTAAAATATTTAAAAAATTAGACGATACGAGTAGAAATCATGAAAGGCGGACACGATTTGTAGCTCAAAAGGATAGATGCTTTGAACAGAACAGAAATCATATGAGTACATCTCATCGTCTTGTTTTTCATGATCTTAATCTACAAAATAATCGTACATGGAATATTACTGTTATAGCTGGTGTCCTATGCCTACCAATTCTACCGACTGGTTATGGTGTTTGGGCTTCGTATTATTTAAGTTTGAATAGTGTCTGGAATCCATCATATGGAATTATTACATGTGGTAATCTAGGTGGATGTTTAGCTGCACATCAGTTATTAATGCATATGCCAATTGCTTTTCTCTGTTTGGGAATTATTACATTGATTGTTTTAATATCAATTAAAACGGATACAAATTGTTTAGTACCAGAACAAATGACTGTACAATCACTGGACGCCAATGCACGTTTTCGTATGCTGACAAAAATAGCTATCAGTCATACAGTTGTATGGATTACTGCATTTCTATCAAATTATATTTGTCATGCAGCTACATGGCAATTTTATGGACTTGTTATCGCCTTACAAAGTCTTTATATTATTGTTAGTTTTGCATTTTCTCGACCATTTCTTGAGGTGATTTTTAAACGAGATGATCCATTGTCACGTTTAAAACTGGACAATTTAGCTATGCAATTACCCCTGGGGGTATTTCGTGGACATGGATCTATGTCGACGACAACAAATCTAGGTGGTTGTTCAAAGAGTCCTTTTCCCAGATAACTTATTACTTACTGTTCTGCTTTTTTGATGAGAAACAGAATTACATGTGAGTAGCCTGCACATTCAGAGTTGTTTGTTAGTTTTTGTTTTTTTCTACTAGAAGATTTTAATAATTGTATTTAGTACACATATGTTTTTTTTGTCGTTGTTGTTTACCTTCCCATTTTGTTAATTTGTACTACTAATACTACTACTATTACTACTACTAGTAATTCATAAAGTAAAGATTATGATACCGTGATTTATTTTAATTATATGAATAGTATCTGCGTGATTTGCATCTTGAAGTTTCGCCTACTAATAAAGAAAGATGTAACAAGTGTCGAAGATATAACTGAACCCTGGATATAATTAAATCTTCGTGAATTCATAAGATTTAGGATAAATCATTAAAGTATCACACAAAAACATGTAGATATCTTAGGCTATTCAACGAAAAATTCCAGGTACGGGACATCACGCACCAGGCCCTGGAGTAGAACCCAAATGGGAAACAATGACTTGGGCAGAGGTCTCAGGGTGATATGGAGAGGATTGTGTGAGGGAGAGATGAAAGCTTATGAACAGCCGTGAAGCCAGCTAAATCCAACTGCAGAGAAGCGATTGGAATGGAAATATCCAGATGAAGTCGTATGTTCCACTAGAAACGCAAGTGAATGTTGATAATAATAAAATGGGACAAATCGAGAACACTGAAGAATGTCTGGTATGATTTTTCCCATAGAAAAACTTGAACAAAACCGGAACAGCATGTGTAGTAGTCTAATATGAGGTCGATTTTATTATTTTATGTGTTGTTTTCAGCTGTTTACCACTCAAATAGTGCTAGAATTTACAAAACAGGCTTTTTTAGTTACACAAGGTGTTATGCGAACATACCGATTCTAGTTGGGCACACTTAGTTTCTATTCACAATTTGAACCCCACTACTTTTGTCAAAAATACTTCTCTAGTAATCATATGAGTAGTCAGTTCTTCCAACAACTAAACATTTAATTGCATACATCGTTCTGGATATATGTTACTCATAGTTCTTATCAATAGCTCGTTATGGAAGTGATAAAAGCATGTTCAGACCGTGTTTTAGTATTTATAAACTTTTATATTGTGTAGTGTGCGTTGGTGGTATAGCGGTTAGAACGCTCACCGACCATGCACATGGTCCGGGGTTCGATCCCCGGCCGGTGCACTCCTTTACCTCGTTTAGCCAGAACTGAAGCTGGTAAAGAGGAAAGGTTGGGCATGAGGCTAGCAACCCCATCCTGTAAAAATAAACACTGCTACAGAAACTTCAAGCCACTAGCTTGAAGCCCTATGTTCCACTGGGAACGTGAACGAATAAAAAAATAATATCAGTAAAACGTTTGAGCATTGTGGATTAGATCAAATAAAGTATAATTATATTTCAATAGTTTACACACAATAATAAGTTTTGTTATTGGTAATTTTGCTCGAAATATTACCAATAACAAAACTTATTATTGTGTGTAAACTATTGAAATATAATTATACTTTATTTGAAAAAAAATAATAATATTGTGTAGTCTGTAAGCAGTTGAAAAGAATCCGTGAGGTAATAAAAATGAGTCCATATTATTCTGTCGCATTCATTACCCTTATTTTGTTCAACAAAAAAAGATTAAGACCTGGTACTGATCAGATATATTTGCAACAGTTGATTTCATTTGTACCACAAGTACACAAAAACGTTATACGCTACTTGACGGTCAACTTCTGAAAGAATCAGGATACGATTTCTTTCATATTATTTAATGATTGATAAATTATTGTATAAGGCTGATGCATGAATCACTTATTCTTCTGTATAAAATTATTTAACACCTTTCTTATGGACTCTAGAACTGTGAGGATTTCTTCTTTTCTGACACCTTTAACAAATTCTCAGACCAAATGAATTTACGAAAGACATACCCTGCTAACTGATATGGGTAGTAGCAGAGTACTCACTTCCAACAGTAGTGTTTTCCAGCCAGGTCGAAGTGGTCTGAACACTCGATAGAAATCTCACTCACTTGATTCAGTATTCATCACCGATATACTGGGTTAGACACAGCTCAGAAAACCTAATCACATGAAATAGTTTCCTTTGGAAGCGTTTAGTTCTCTGTGTGTGTGCATTTCGCCCGGGTAGCTTGTCAGAGTTTGAATGGTTTGAAATAATTCGGGTTTTCCGGCTGAGTCTAATAGGTTACATTAGTCATAAACTTGACTGAAAACGAGCAAAGCATCCATCCAGTATTTAGACTATACCGATCTGGATAACAAACACTAGTATTTGATATCATTGGTTCCCGTATATATCATCAATCAATAATATATAGGATCATGCTAGATTGATTGATTTTGTTACTTGCCATTTATAGTAATAGATAGATCATATATTGTAGTCTGAATATCCCAGTCTTCCAAGAGAAATAGAGGACTAAGTAACTTCCTAGTGACGAAATTAATTCTAACTCATTTGCAGGCATCTTTTTAAGTTACTAAGAGATATTCAAAGAGCAAATTATAATGGTATCCTTATTTTCACAGTCGTCATATTTATTCATATAACGATTTTACATTGAAAGCGTGAAAGCCGTTTATTAGATATTGTGAAGAAAAAAGCAGATTGCATGAATTATCCTCAAGACAGAACGAGTAGTAATTTTCCTTTTTTCATTCCTTTTGCGTTCCAAGTGGAATATAGAGCCCTGGAGTTTAAATAAAGGTTGCATTTTTCCACAGGATGGAGTTGCTAGCTTCGTGCAGGCTAAGAAGGGTTTAGGGGTTAGTCTGCCGGATATCGTACCAGAATCACGTATCTGGTTGCTGAATATTCTAACATTAAACCACGGATGCACAAAGCAACCCCCATGGCAGGATGCGAACACGTAATCCTCTATTTACGAGTAATTATTATGACATTATTATGCGTTCTTTGGGTTCTGAGTGAAATACAAATCTCCAGTAGAACAACTCCCATTTATTCTTTTCTCTTCTGTAATTTTTGTGCAGCTCCATGAATGCTCACAAACGTTCATTTCGTCATCACATTATCTCTTACATTTCACCCCCAGACGCACATCGAACTTCTTGCTTCCAATTTAGGTTCCACTTTAAGACCTGCCTGGCATGTGATATCACTTAATAGTCTCCTCAGCGTATATCCAGTCTGTTTCGGTTTTGTTCTGCATATTTTTAAGATGATAGATTCTTGGCTAGTTCACCGCCAAAAGTTAAATTTTAAATCCGCTGTAACAAATATATCTCATCCTTTTGAGTAATATGACTTAATTCCAAGTGACAGCCGAGTTGTTAATAAGACAGTAACTCTCTGGCGCCAGTCACGCTAAAATCATTAACTGGTAGAAGTTAGAATTCATGGCCCAATTGATTTCAGTCTCATCGGTTGAATGGTCTACGAGTTTGCCTTGTAACTGGAATGTCCTGGGTTTGATTCCCGGTGGGTGCGTACTGACGATGAGTCCCAAACTGGGACGATATAGATGTCCACTACTCCTTGATAGTTATCAATGGTTCTCTAACTGATATCAAAACATGGGCAAACTTGAAAAACAAATCAAATCCCTATAAAAGAACTCACGAAAAAACAATCAATAAGTTTGTTTCTAAACTAGACGAGAAACAGAACTGTTGTGAAAAGAAAATCTTAAATGAATTTAATATCACTTACTTTTCAAAAGTTTTCGATACATTTCGAAAATTACATTAAGTACTATTATGTAGCCAAGAGATTTTGTAAACTTGCTATTTAATGTAATCATTTTTTTTCTAACTGCAAATGTTCCTCTGTGTCTTTTTAAATAAAATCTAAATGGTCATCTTTACTTCATAATTAATGGTTACAATTTGAAAAAAAGATTTAATTTGTAACATTTGCAACTTTAAAAGCAAGCATTCGAAGTTGTTGAGTTATACCTTACATTAAGACAATGTTATTTTTAATTGTGAAACTGAAATACAGGCTATAGGATCATATGTGAGCACATAGAATTTGTATTTTGATTGGACATGAGTTAGTAACTAGTGCGACGTGTCTAGTCCTTTCCTTGGTGCAGACTGAATTCTATCAGTCAGGTTTGCAATGTGGCCACCATGCCACTAGGTAGCTCGCCATCACGGTGTACATTGATTTGATGATATTAGATAGTTAGAGGCAATCGGCAGAAAACCTTGGACCTAGTTTTCGTGCTAGTTGGCACTCACCAGTCAGCAGGGCGTATCTGCAACCTTGAAGTAACCCATGTCCCTTCTGAGATTCGAACCCGCATCACCCAGTGCTGCAGTCAGAGACGTTACCACTGAGCATATTGTGTATATTTTCCATGACTAGTCAAAGAGAAAGTCATTGTTGAAGTGAAATTAAGCACTTAAAAAAATTTACAAATGTTTCACTCCATGAAGAGTTTAGAAATCTTTGTTATTTTGTTGGCTATACTTCTATTAGTACAGCGTATGTCTTGCTTTGTTCACAGTCCACAAGTCTAGAGTCCACGAATCTCCTCGTTGATAACATCTAATAATCAATGGGTTGTTTAACTGTGTTGAAGTAATATGTGTTATTGTAAATGCTAAATAAGAAAATAATTGATTCCGCTCACGTTCAGTGTTTTTTTTCTGTTTTCATCTTTGTGAATTTGCGTGACTTAAACAAAATAATAATTACATGCGTGTTGTGTAATCATTCGCCGTTGAGTGAAATATAAATGTAAAAATATTTGTGAATCATTTTACTTGACTTTGTTACAAACCAGTACATAGCTTTTATCAATGTACATTGTGTTTTGTTTTGGTTACCGTTCGGTAAAAAGAAAACTAGAAATATGCGGAGCATTAGAAAAATAACAAGTATATTAGATTATTAATATAGTCAATAACATATTTCTATTCCTGTAGGATTCAGTTATCCAGTTTATGCATGCGAAATCAGTGCCCTTAGGTGGCAAAAAATTCACGGAATTCACTTGTGAGATGAAGGTGGCCACTTGTCAGCCTCTTCTTAACATCCAGCAACAAATGTATATATTCATCAAGACGAATTTCTCCACTTCGAAGCATAATTCAGATTTTAGGGTATACTTTGTCAGGCACCGACATCAGATAAAGGATAACTGACAAAGAAAGAAAGGGTACTGGACAGATATTTGATCCTTACATAAGGCATTCATAA